AAAAAAAAAAAAAAAAAAAAAAAGGAGAAGGGATCAGAGCAGCCGCCAGAGAGAGGGCGATAGAGTCCACTTTCCTCCAACTGCCCTGGGTCTCCTTCCCTCACTCTCTCCTCTTTAGCAACACCAAGAGCCCCAAACTGAACCCAGAGCAGCTTTTTCCATCAGTTCAGTTCCCTTCCCTCCCTCTGTCTCACACACGGCAAGAAGAGAGCCCCTTCCTCCTCTTGATTTCCCTTCGCATGCTCAGCCTCTTGTTTCCTTTAAAGCACTAGAAATCCCCCCGTCTTGCCCCCACTCCTCCATGCAGACTGGGATTGCAATGGGAGCTTTGCAGATTGCTGGATTTTCCATCCTTGTCTTTCTCCTCCACTCTGGAAACACGCTGGCAAATAAAGCCAGTCAAGGTAAGAGAAAATCTTCCCAGCTCGAAGGTTTGCTGTTTGATGTGTGTATTAGGCAGCCGGACCTCCTCTTTAGAGCTGGGATTTTATATGCAGGCTGGAGAAATTAGCAGCAATAACAACAAATAGTGGAGGGGGGTTTAAAATGTTGCTTGCAGATATTCTTGCCTGCTGCCTTTGATTTGGGTTGTTTTTTGTAAACTCTTTAATGAGTTGCATTTCTTACACTTTATTATTTTTTTTGTGTTGTTTGGACTCTTTATCTCGAGGCAGGGGGTGCAGAAGCAGAAAAGAAGGGGGTGCAAACAACTCTGCGCCCATCACAGGGAAAATGTTGCTGTTTGGAGGGGCTTGGGGGGCTTTTGTGGTTTTTGGGTTTCAGTGTCTGCGAGATGGGGTGCGGGCGAGGGCTTGTGTCGGGCTGGGTTGGAGGGAAGGGATGGTGGAACGGGTATCTAACGCTGGTTGGGAGGTTGCATCTGCGTTTGTGTGTTTTGCGTGAGCGCGGGGTGAATCTCAAATGTGCGATAGGGACGTGGGCTGCAGAAAACTTCGGGCGGCTGAAAAATCTGGGAGCTCTTTCGCTATCTCTAGAAAAGCGAGGTATGTCCCGTCGTTATCAACTTCAGGCTTTTCTGTTTCGCCGCTCCCGTATTGAGCCTGAGTTTTCTCCTTCACAAACGTACACATGTAGCTTTATGTATGGTCTATCTATACCTTAGGTTTTCTATAGCACCTCTATATTTAGCTCGGATTTTTCTCTATACACACGCGCGGGAGTGCGCGCGCACACACAAACACACACAGCCCTATGTGCATGATCCTGTTGGCTGTCTCGAAGGGGTTTTTTCTCCTTAATTTACCACTATCTATACAATCTGCTGGGTTTTCTCCTTCTTTTTTTTTTTTTTTCTATAGCACTTAACAGTATGTAAGATTTATCAAAACCAGCTTTGGCTCTTGCTATTGTAGTAGCTGCATGTTTATGCGTATTGCGAGATTAAATAGAGTGTGAATGGAATATAGGAGCGCAGGATATAATTAAAGATCTCTTGGAGGCATTAGGAACAGGCGTATTTCAGCCACGCGCATGGTCGCCCTGAGCCCTGTCACTGACAAAGTTAGAGGAATTTCAAGGCTATTGTCTTATCTGGCTTAAAGTGTTTTTAAAACAATAGGCAACTTTTCGGTTGGGCAGTCTGGGCAAGCACAGGGGAGATTTTCCAGGGCAAAGGTTTGGTGAGAAGGCGTCCAGCTTCACGTAAAGCTTTATGATTAGGCTTAGAAAGGAATGCTTAGGTTTTTATCCCCTCTCAAATTATCTCGAGTGTATGCATTGCTTTCATTTCTTATCATAATATTTATTTATTAAGGCCTTTTGGTTTCCAGTTCCATTTAAGCCTGAGCCAGAATTGCATTAAAATAGCAAAGTAAAATTCCATCGTGCAGAGACTTGACAGATCCCTTCGGGGAAGGAGAGGGGTGGAGTGGGGGTGGAGAGAGGTGAGCTCAATCCTGTGCCGGGGTAAATCACCCGCCGTGCGCCCGGGATGGTGCTGGCTCCTCCCGGCCCCCATCGAAGGCACCGGCCAGACCCCGGGGTCCGGCTGCTCTGCAGCCAGGGGGGGGTTGCAGTGAGGAGTTAATCCCCCAAACGGCTGCTGGGGGGGTTCTGTGGGGTGATGAGGGGGACGTGGGTGCAGCAGGGTGGAGGTTGGTGCCCGCGGGGGTGCGAGGGCTCTGGGCAGGGGTGGACCCGCTCCTTTTTGGTTGAGGCTGAACTCGTGGACCCGGCATCCCCGATGGCAGATAAAAGCTGTGCTTTCCCCAGGAACCCGCTATTGCCCGGTTTTCTGCTTGCACAAGCCTTGTTGTGCTCTTCAAAGCCAGCCCGTGTACCTGGGGCATGTTTTAGTAGGATATTTCTGAAAAGCGTTGGGCATCCCGCCCTGTATCTGCGGGGTGAGCCCCAGGGGTGGGGTACATCACCCCTCCGCCCTCACCAAAGCCTTTGCCCTTTTGGGGGACAGCCACTCTCACCAGGTGACTGTCACAGGCTGGGGACGGCTCCTCTCCTGTCGGATGGGCTTGCTTTGCTGTGATAACACCACACCATGGGTAGAGCTTGCTGGCTTATTTCTCGTGCTGAATTACCCCAGAAAGTTTAGTCTGTAGGGAAGGAAGGAATTAGCAGAGCTGTCCGCCGGGCCTGGAGGGTGTCTGCCAGAGGACCTGGCTGTCTGTGGGGTTTATTAGGTCAGTTTAGGGCTAGGAAAGCTTTCAAGAGGAGAACTGATAATATAAATCCAAATAACCCCAGGGAGGCTCCTGGCACGCACTCAGCGGGGTGAAGTCTCCCTGCAGTCCCCATGCGAAGCTGCCCAAATGGCCCCAAGCTGCTGCCATACCCACAGCTTTCCTGGTTTTTGGACAGTGCTGCCCCCCCCAGTCCCACCCTGTCACCCATCAGTCCCTCTCACAGCCTGCCAGGCAGAAGAGCCTGTCCTGAGCTCCCACTCTGTGGAGCTGCACCCTTGCCCGTTGTCTGCCGGCACTGGTCCCTCCTTGTGCCCTGGGGAGGATGGAGCCCAAGGGCTGGCGGATTTACACCCTCCTCTTGTACCAGGGAGTGCCTGGATCTGGCCTTGCCCAGAGACTGGAGACACAACCATGTCACAGGATTCACCACCGTTATCTGCAGCCGAATTGCACCTCCCCTCAGATAGGCAACAGGGCTGGGGGGGGAGATGCAGCATCTCCGCGGGGGACCCCAGCACCCCAGTTTGCAGCCCCTGGCACTCCCACAGCCCTGGCCAGTACAGAGTCTGGAGTGGGAGCACGGCCCCAGCCCAGCTCGATGGTCACCCGTGGGTAAAACCAGCCCTTTTGGCCGCGCGGCTGCTCAGGGACGGAGCCACCATCCTGCGCGAGGGCCTGGGTTCGGTGGGGATGCACCTGCAGAGCCTACGCCGCCAGGGATTATTTTTTAATTTTTTTGTATTTTTTTTTTAGGAGTCTAAAATTTTCCAATTGCAGCGTAGAGATGCTGTTTGATTCCCCTCCCATCTCCGCCAAACCTCCTCCCCCTTGGCCTCCGCTTTCCTCCCTCTCATATATTCACAGTGTGCGACTGTTGTGCCTGTCCCCTCCACCCCTCTGAAATATGAAATGTAAAACTGTAAACATTTCAACATACAGCAGTTCAAAGGAGATCTTTGACTGAGGGCGTCTAACGTGCCTGTACTGAGATTAAAAAGGGGAAGGGGGGTAGGAAGGAGGGAAGAAGAGTTTTTTTGTAACTGCCAAACGGGAGTATAAATATTCAGACACCTCGAGTCTTCCAGTGCGGAGATGTATTGCTGTCTCCAAACTGCTCGGGAGTTTTTATTTTTTTTGCTTTTATTTTTATATAGATTTTTCCTTTGCAGACGGTCGCACCGGAGTAATCCATTTAGGAAAAATATATGCATGAATAACCTTAACCTTCACTTTCAAAATTATAAGTCCCCCGAGAGGCTTTAGGAGAAGCCTGGGATGGCAAATAAAGTTTGCTCTGTCTCGCGGCGCTGGAGGAAGCCCGGCCAGCTGTGTTTCGGCAAGGCCGTCTTCCCCGCTGGAGATCTTGCAATTGTTGCTCCCAAAGCCGAAAACAAACAAACACATTTTTTTTAAGGCAAGACTTGGTCAGCCTGATAAGCCAAAGGAACAACAACAGCAATGACAGTTCCCTGGGGAGATGAACACGCTGTTGGTGTGGAGCATCAAAATCTCCGTGGAGAAATTGTGGCTGAACTGAGCCAAAGCGCCCAGGTTTGGCACAGGGAGGTGGGATGGGGATGGGGGGAGCGTTTCCAGCCCAGGGGATGCTGAATCTGGTGGTGGAACTGGGATCCATTGGGATGAGCTGGGCTGGTTCAGGGAATGGGGAGCTCAACCTGGCTCTGCCCTCATGGGAGCAGGAAACATCCACAGGGGAAAAATAAAGCCCCTTTTGGGTCAGTGTCAGCTTTGGGGAAGGAAAGCCCGGGTGAGGGATGCAGAGGAGGGTCTGGGCATGGGGTGATGGGGTCACTAAGTTGGGAAACCCCCCAGGTCCTTTCTGCAGCTTGTGGTTCCTCGTCCTCCATCCGAGCTGCATCTAGCGGGTCCCACCTGCTTTCAGGAGAGCTGGGTGGACGTGTGGGGCGCTGGGCTCCTGCCGTGGGGCTGGGGGGGGGGTCTCCATCCCTCAGCGAGATGCAGACATCCCCTCTGAGCTGACCCGAGCGCGGGTACCCGCCCAGGCACCGCTGGCACGGCACCCCCGGCACGGCAGCAAGCCACGGCCGAGCACCTGAGTTAGGATCTCGAGTTCAGATGACGCATCTTTGGCCAATTTGCAAAAAGCTGCCCCGCAGAGCATCTCCCTCCCCTCTCACCAGCTCCCGGCCCCCATCCCCTCCCGGCGGGATGCCACTGCCCGTGGCCGTGCCCTGTGCCCGTCCCGCCGCGGCGCAGCACGAGTCGCCCTCGTGAGCTCCCCGGGCGAACAAATGATTAATAAACTGCACCACAGTGTCTGAGGTGGTTATTAATACCCTGGTAAAAAGAGCTACTGAAGTTATAAAGCTTTAATTTGGCATTAAGGCCGAGTGGAAACTCCACGTGTCTGCCAACAGCTACACACACATCCCTATACAGACAGGCTGTTAATATATATGCCTATAAAAAAATAAAGAATAAAATTAATTTGAAAGAAAAAGTTGAAGCGCTTGCAGAAGAGAGCAAAAGGACAGTGGTTTTGTTTGTTTAGGGGTTTTCTGGCAGTTTGTCGCTACCCTGTCTCAGCCCTCTCCTCAAATTTATTGGGCCTTCCAGCCTATGGAGAAAACCATCATTTATTATTTATTATTTTTTAAAAAACAAAATAAGGAAGTGAGGAAAGAGCCTCAATCCCGGCTCTAAAAATATACGAGCTGTTGCTTTCTCCCCCCACGCGCTGTCATGTATCGCCAGCAGCGTGACACCACGGGGCAGGGTGCAGGCGTGGGATGCGGGTGCCCATGGGCTCTGCCACCGCCTCCCCCGCTGGCCTCGGTCAAAGCCCTTCGCCTCCCCCGGTGGGTACCCGCCGGTCCCGGGGGGTTGATGGTCCCCCCACTTTTGGCACGCTCGAAATGGCAGTGGCGTTGAAACTGTCTGCCTCTGCTGCCTTTGAAATGGAGAATAAAGCTGCAGCTGGAGCGGAACGGGGCCCAACAGCCAGCGCTGGAAAATCCCACCCACAACGGAATAAAAAACATCGCCCGAGGCGCGGGGCGAGCGCCGCAGCCTCCTGCCCTTCGCCGCAAACCCCCCGGCACGGCGTGGCGGCGATGCCGAGGATGCTCTTGCCCTCTGACAAACCCTAATTACCCCGAAGCACGGTGGGACAGGGAGGTGGCCTGGGCAGGGAGCGTGGGCCGCCAGATCCGGACGAGACCTCGCGTCTCCGATGGGACTCGGCATCTTCATCGAAATTAAATTCCTTGCCTGGTACAAAATCCCCCTGTTCCGGGGATGTGCGGCGTGACGCACCCATCTGCGCCGTTAGGTTTGGGCTCGTTTCAGGCAACTTTGGATGAAAATGGGCGTCTTTGGTTATTTGTGGAAGAAGGGGAGTGAGGGGCTGCAGGGATGCGGGTCTGCAAGAGGTCCTGGCTGGCAAAACCCCCAAAAAACCCCACCTGGGTTTGGGACCTGGACTTCAGAAGGTCCCCCCAGGCAGAGGGACGAGCAGGGCACACTGCAGAAAGGAGTTTGCAAGAGCAAATAGGGACGGGAACATCAATAAGGATTTTTTTTTTTTTTAAATCTTCTCTTCGCTTGGCTTGAAAATGAAATCCCTCGCTCCTTGGCGGCGGCTGGGAGCACCTGCAGCGGGGCCGCGGGCATTTTTTTGGATGGAGAAAATTTTCCTGCAGGAGAAGCGGGCTGTCCCAATGGCAAACCTTCCCCTTCGTGGGAAAATGCCGCTTGCCTTGACAAAAATGCAAAAATTTAGTTTTTCAGAGGGCTTTTTTTTTAATTCACTACATCATTTCTGAAGGATTCTTCTTAAGAGCCAGAATTTCAGCATTCTTAAATTAGGATTTTTGCCAATCTGGGGATGGCTCCTGGGATGTCAAGGAGGGTATTTATTCACTCTTCCCACACACACACACAAAATTTTTCCCCTTTTTCTCCTTTTTTTTTATAATCCTGTAACCTTTCAGAATGTCTCCAGCTTTGGAAAAATTACAGAGTGGCAAATTTATAATGTTTTCTTTTGTACTTTTGCTGCTGTGTAATCTTTCCAAAGTTAGAGAAGTTTTGAAGTTACAGAATGGAAAAAAAAAAAAGATAGAAAAGAAAAATAATATACATGTGCAAGTGGGAAAGGCACGGCATTGTGTTCAGTGCCACACAGACGTTGTTCATTGTCTTGAGTTTGAGGCGCAGGAGGAAAAAGAAATAGAAAATAAAAACCCCCAAAAAAGTGAGATTTCTGGCAAAAGGCTGGAAAAATTTCAATGATGTGCTGTCTGATGGATGCTTCACGTTTTGGGTGTTTTTAGGGAAGGAGGTGGGGATTGTTGGATGGTCTGTGGTGTTTGGGTGTTGGTTCCCATCTGTACATCAGGGGGGGTGCCCGGGGTGCTGGACCCAGCAGCTCCCACCTTGGGACCATCGACTCGAGGCACTGACACGTCTGAGGGAGAGCGGGGAAGAGCCGCAGGAGGGCAGGGCCAAGACCAGAATTTGCAAATTCAATAGATCTTTGGTTCAGTGGTGGCTTCATTGCTGTCGAGTCTCTTGATGTCCCCCATGTGTCCCCCCACTCCTCTCCCGCCACCCACCCAAGAGCCCCGGCCAGGGGTGCTGGAGCCGGAGGTGAAGTCTGAGCGGTGATGGAGGTGCTTCCTCCTGGGCTGAAAGGCTCTTCAAGCCTGAAAACGTGGTTGGGAAGGACCGAACTCTGCTCTCCTGTGGCTTTTGCAGGTTTTTTTTGGGGCCGGTGATTATTTGCACACGCTTTTCGGTTTGTAGGATGGGGCCTTTGCAGGTGGGTCAGGGGTGCGGTGGGGCAACCGTGCTCCGGGGCGGGGACAGGGTTTGCAGCCAAAGTGGAAGTTTGGCTGGAGAGGAACCGAACCTGAGCCCGGCTCAGCTCCCCGAAGGGACAACAGTCCCCCCAAAAACCCCCACGTGGGTTGCGAGCCTCTCCCCAGGGATGCCACTGGGTGCTGGGGTGCCGTAGCCGGTGCCATGGGTGCTGGAGGGGAGCAGGGTGCTGGTTCCCCGTGCAATCCCTCCATCGTCCCCGCCGCGGTGGGTCAAGCCTCCAGCCGGTGATTAATGGCCCAAGGGAGGCCGTGGTGGCCGCGGGCCATGGCTAATGTCAAATAACAAATATGAATGCGGGCTGTAAATATTTATACAATGCGCAGGCACGTGCCGCCTCCCTGGTGCAAAGGCAAAGCTAAAGCTCTCCTCCCCCCGGCCGGGTGACTCACGTCTCCCAACAAAAAACCACTGGGGTGGCCGGGAGAGGGCTCGGGCCGGCTCTCTCGTGGCCGTGGCCCCCGTCCCAGTGGGGCTGGCAGGGCTGTCTGCCCGCCCGCGGCTTGCAAGGATGTTTCATGTCTTTGAGGACGTCGCAGAGCGCTTCTGTTCTTGGAGTTGCTGAAAAGCAGCTTTTTTAAAGGCAGTTTAGAGTTTCGCAGCCTTAGGCTCCTCTTTATGGGGTACAGGGAAGTGAAGGGATCCTCAGATTCCCTGGTGAGACCCTTCCCACCCCCGTGGGACGCTGTGGGGGCAAAACCCCTGGGGCTGCACTGATGCTCCCCACATGCCTGGAGTCTGAGCGGGGAGCCCGGGGTGCTCAGGGAGCCCTACCTGTACCCGAGGGGCCGTGGGTGATGCTCAGCACCCACCTCCCCTCCCGGGGGCACCCAGCTACCTTACACCACTGCCAGGCATTGGCAGCCAGAGAGGGGGATGTGCCCGCTCCGGGGCACCACGTGTCCCGTACTGCCTGCACAGGGGAGGCAGAGAGCAGCCAGGTGAGCAGCCTCTTGCTCATAAACCTCCACCCCACACGCTGGAGGCTTCTCTGTTTCCCAAATACCGTTAAAACCTCCACTACTGCGGCCTCCCACCATGGCAAACCCTTGGACATCACTGCTCGAGGCCATCACTGGTGCATGGTGCTCTGGACGTGATGTCCCGGGTACCACGGCGCCGCATCCCAGATAAGGGGGTTGAGGGGCAAAGGGGGATGGGGAGGACATGGATTTTGGCTGTGTCCCCAAGGAAGCCTTGATGTTTTTCCCAGTTCTCCCTCCTGCTTCCCGCTCCTGGCTTACAGGTTTATTTAGTGTGGTCCCTGCTAATTCGTGCACATTCCTCCGCGCCTAAGAATAGAAAGCGATGACGATTATTTGGGTGACTGGTCGGCTCAGGAAATGGCTAATTGGAGACAGAGACTTTCACCTCTGCTTGGGCTGGCTTCAGCCTGGACTACGGGTGCCTGAGCGATGTTTCCTATCATCAGACATGTGAAAGGGCCGCGAAGTCTCAGGGTGGCTTGTACAAGAGCAGGGACACAGGTAGTGCTGTCTGGGAGCGGACCCAGCGGCTCACTGTGTCCCAGAGCGAGCCCATCGCCCATTGCATCAGGGCTGGGCGCTGTGAAGTCACTAAGGAGCAAAGCAGCAGCTTTTCTGGTTCATGTGCAGGTTGAAAAGCCCGAGGGCTGCTTGGCTTCATCGCCTCGAGCGATGGCTCCTGTGGGGAGATGGGGCAGAGGACCCCCCAGCTCTCCCCATCGCTCCCCTCGCCTCTCCCCTTGCAGATGTTGACGAGTGCGTGGAGGGCACCGACAACTGCCACATCGATGCCATCTGCCAGAACACCCCCAAGTCCTACAAGTGCATCTGCAAGTCCGGCTACACCGGCGACGGGAAGCACTGCAAAGGTAGGGGTAGCCCACTCCCACCCCCGCCGGAGCTCTCCGACGAGGAACAGTTCTGGCAGGTGGGATGCAGGCGGTGGCTCGTCAGCGATGTCCCCTGCCCTTGCAAAAAGGCTGCTTGTTTACCCCAGCCCATTGCAAACCTTTTAATTTCACTTTTCTGCCCCAAACTCCTGGCCTGTTGACACCACCGTGCATGGTGACAGAGAGGATCGAGACTGTCCTTGCTGGTGGCGGTGGCAGCCGTCGTGCTCCCTCCCCTGATCCGCAAAGAGCCACATTTGCAAGGCTGGGGCTGCCCAGTCCCAGGACGGTCACCTGGGGCTTGTTTTAAACAAAGCTGGGTGCTTTTTCCTGCGGGATTTCCAACCCAGAGGCTGCAGAACTGGGTTAGCAGCTAAAACATGAGAAGCTTAAAAATAAGATCTAGAGAAGCAGAGATAGAGGATATAGATATAGATGTAGATATAGAGAAAGGGGACATAGATAAGAGATGGAGAGAGAGAGAGACGATATAGAGATAGATGTAGATAGAGATAGAGATGTAGATACAGAATCCCAGAATCCCAGAATCATCCGGGTTGGAAAAGCCCTTGAAGCTCCTCCAGCCCAACCCTGACCCTCACCCTGACCGTTCCCAACTCCCCCAGATCCCTCAGCGCTGGCTCAGCCCGACTCTTCAACCCCCCCAGGGATCCCGGGGACTCCCCCCCTGCCCTGGGCAGCCCATTCCAACGCCCAACAGCCCCTTCTGCACAGAAATCCTTCCTCAGAGCCAGCCTGACCCTGCCCTGGGCAGCTTGAGGCCATTCCCTCGGGGCCTGGCGCTGGGGCCTTGGCTCCAGAGACTCATCCCCCCTCTCTGCCCCCTCCTGGCAGGGAGTTGCCGAGGGCCAGGAGGTCTCCCCTCAGCCTCCTCTTCTCCAGACTGAACCCCCCC